GTGCAGCAGGCAGGAGGGGAGCCGAGGGTGCCCGGGGCACCCCAGGGAGTGCAGCAGGCAGGAGGGGAGCCGAGGGTGCCCGGGGCACCCCAGGGAGTGCAGCAGGCAGGAGGGGAGCCGAGGGTGCCCGGGGCACCCCAGGGAGTGCAGCAGGCAGGAGGGGAGCCGAGGGCGCCCGGGGCACCCCAGGGAGAGCAGCAGGCAGGGGGGCAGCCGGGGGTGCCCGGGGCACCCCAGGGAGTGCAGCAGGCAGGAGGGGAGCCGAGGGTGCCCGGGGCACCCCAGGGAGTGCAGCAGGCAGGAGGGGAGCCGAGGGTGCCCGGGGCACCCCAGGGAGTGCAGCAGGCAGGAGGGGGGCTGAGGGTGCCCGGGGCACCCCAGGGAGTGCAGCAGGCAGGAGGGGAGCCGAGGGTGCCCGGGGCACCCCAGGGAGTGCAGCAGGCAGGAGGGGAGCCGAGGGTGCCCGGGGCACCCCAGGGAGTGCAGCAGGCAGGAGGGGAGCCGAGGGTGCCCGGGGCACCCCAGGGAGTGCAGCAGGCAGGAGGGGAGCCGAGGGTGCCCGGGGCACCCCAGGGAGTGCAGCAGGCAGGAGGGGAGCCGAGGGCGCCCGGGGCACCCCAGGGAGAGCAGCAGGCAGGGGGGCAGCCGGGGGTGCCCGGGGCACCCCAGGGAGTGCAGCAGGCAGGAGGGGAGCCGAGGGTGCCCGGGGCACCCCAGGGAGTGCAGCAGGCAGGAGGGGAGCCGAGGGTGCCCGGGGCACCCCAGGGAGTGCAGCAGGCAGGAGGGGGGCTGAGGGTGCCCGGGGCACCCCAGGGAGTGCAGCAGGCAGGAGGGGAGCCGAGGGTGCCCGGGGCACCCCAGGGAGTGCAGCAGGCAGGAGGGGAGCCGAGGGTGCCCGGGGCACCCCAGGGAGTGCAGCAGGCAGAATGGGAGCCGAGGGTGCCCGGGGCACCCCAGGGAGTGCAGCAGGCAGGAGGGGAGCCGAGGGTGCCCGGGGCACCCCAGGGAGTGCAGCAGGCAGGAGGGGAGCCGAGGGTGCCCGGGGCACCCCAGGGAGTGCAGCAGGCAGGAGGGGAGCCGAGGGTGCCCGGGGCACCCCAGGGAGTGCAGCAGGCAGGAGGGGAGCCGAGGGCGCCCGGGGCACCCCAGGGAGTGCAGCAGGCAGGAGGGGAGCCGAGGGTGCCCGGGGCACCCCAGGGTACGCAGCAGGCAGGGGGGGGATCGATGGACGACCGGGAACAGCAGTTGGAGGAGTGGTGCCGACTTTTGGAGTTTGATACCCCCATGGCGACTGCGGAGGAGTCAGAGGCGGACGGAGAACCACCCAGTCCGCCTTCCCCATGCCCCCGTTTCCCGTGTGACACGTGTTTCCACACGTTCGCCACGAGAGGGGCCGCTGCGAACCACATGAGGGTATGCCGGGCGGCTGAGGCGGAGAGACGCGCGCAGGCACTTGGCTCGATCCCGTCTCTGGTGGAGACCGACACACAGGAGCGACCGACGCCGCGGGAATTTGGGGACGAGGCGTGGGCAGGGGTTAAGTCATGGGAGTGGGAGGCATTTTTCTGTGTGGAGGCGGTTGGAGGGAGGACAGTGCGCCGAATCCCGCAGCGGGCCCGGTCCGGGGTCTTAGACGCACTCTGTTGCATCTTGAAGCGGCTGAAGAGCCGACCGGGAGATGAAGCTGCTACCCTCCTACTCCTGGCGTTTCCGCGCCTCATCCTAGCCGTGCCTCCCAAGCCAGGCATAGGTCAGAAGGCGCTGATCATAGAGCGGCTGGGGGCCTTCTGGGAGGGGAGGTGGCGGGAGTTGTTCGACGCTGCCATGGCGGCGGCACGGCCAGCAGTTCGCCCACTTGCCTACACGTGCTCTGACCAGGACCCGGAGGCCATCCGCCTGTCACGGTGCCGATCTCGGTGTAAAGTGGGAGAGTGGAGCCGTGGTTTGTCTTGCCTCACAGCAGGAGAGTTGGCTCGACCAACTGAGGCTATGGTGCAGTCGCTGCGAGGGAAGCACCCAGCTAGCAGTGGCGAGGTACCACCGTGGGTTCGTGAGTTTACTGTCGACGCTCCTCAGCGGCCTCCACTCACGACCGACATTCTGGCTAGAGCTATCCACACAGCTGCTCGCGCCTCAGCTGCAGGGCCATCGGGATGGGTCACAGAGCATCTGCGCGACACTTTCCTCACGGAACCTTCCTGCCTCTCCCACCTGCTGGAAGTGTTCAACCAATGGGTGGCGGGACAGGTCCCCGAGCGAGCTCGGCCCTGGCTCGCCGCATCCAACCTAGTCGGGCTTTCCAAACCCAACGGTGACGTCCGGCCGGTGGCGATCGGGGAGGTGCTTCCGCGTATCCTCGCTCGAGCTCTCTGCATCTCGCTTCGCCCTGTGATGGCTTCTTATTTTCTGCCGTGTAACCAGCTGGGAGTGGGCACCAGGGCCGGGGTGGAGATTCTTACTCATTCTTTCCGGTCAGCGCTGGCCACTCACCCCGACTGGTGTGCGCTGCAGATAGATGTCGCGAACGCCTTCAATTCGTTTCATCGCCACGCGATGTTCGAGGGGCTGAAGGAGTCGCCTTTCTCAGGAATGATCCCATTCTTGCGTGTCTTCTATGGGACACCTAGCGACCTGTACCTCCGAGCGGGCCCTTTCGTACAGAGTCTTGAGTCGGCACGAGGATCGCGACAGGGGGACCCGCTCGGCCCTTTTCTTTTCGCTTTCACGCAGCAGCAGGTGCTGGGGACGGTGACTAGAGAGTTCAGGGACCTACTTTTCTTGAGCTATGCAGACGATACCTACATCCTGGGACCAGCGGCTAGGATTCTGGAGGCTTTTGGGGTGCTGCGAGAGAGGTTGGAGTGGGTGGGGCTGGAAGTGCAGGCGCACAAGTGCAGGTTTTGGGAGCGTGGAGGTGGGGATATGGAGCGGGCATTGCCTTTGGGGATGCAGCGGGAGGAGGAGGGTCTTACTGTGGTGGGCGTGCCTATTGGGGAGGAGGATTGGGAGGGGGCCCGATTACGGAAGCGGCTTCGCGAGTTGCAGGCGCCATTGCCGTGGCTCCCCCTGCTCGACCACCCCCAGATGGCCTCGCATCTCCTCGCTATTGCAGTTTCAGCACGGCCGATGTACCTGGCCCGGACTATGCCGCCGCGGCCGGAGGTGGTGGAGGCCTTTAGAGAGTGGGACAGCTGTCTGGAGGATTGCTTTGAGCAGCTTTTCCCCCCTGGCACTTGGGAGCAGGATCCCGGCAGGTCTAGGCGCGCACGCATGCAGCTGCATCTCCCTGTGCGCCTCGGAGGGTTTGGGATCCGGGCGGCGGCCTCTTTGAGTCCGCTCTCCTATGTTTGTGGGTGGGCGCAGGCCGCACGGGATATTGCACATTTGGGGGTGGCGGGCGAGGAGGCGATGTTCGCAGAGTACCTCACCACTTCGGCGGGGGCGGAGCTTCTTGACCCGTGGTTTGCCAAGGCCATTGAGCAGTTGCCCGCGACTATACGCCAGGAGCTGCCGGACTTACCCCTGTGTGTGGCGGCCCCTCCTCTTCGGCTTTTCCAGGCGCGGCAGCGGCAGTTGGCTGTTGAGGAGCTCCAGGCACTCCGCCGCTTGGCTCGTGACGATGCCACCCTGGCCCGTTTCACATCCCTTCAGGGCCCGGGGGCTGGTGCATGGGTTTCGGCAGTTCCGGCTCATTCAGATCTCACATTCACTGCAGCGGAGTGGGGCATTGCTGCTGCTATACGGCTTGGTCTCCCAATCCAGCAGCTGCAAGTGGCGGGGAAGTGTGTTTGTGGCACAGCGTATGATGACCCAGCAGACCCGCATCATGCGCTGAGATGCAAGCACCAACACGGTCCATCTCGGGTGCATGATGAGGTGAAGTTTGCGGTGGCAAAGATCGCTAAGGCGTCAGGGGGGGTGGTGACGATGGAGGATAGTGCGGTGCTGCCGGGGAAGCGGGTTGACGTAGCGGTGCGACGACCAATGGCTGGGGAGGCTCATGCTTTAGAGATTAGTGTCGCGGACCCGCTATCACTGTCTCCATCTCTGCTAGGGCAGTGCGGGCGGTCTATAGGCGTGGCGGCAAAGGAGTGGGAGCGTCGCAAAACGGGGGATTACGCGCCTCTTCTTGCACGGAACCGAGGCGTGCAGTTCACCCCTTTGATAGTGGAGACGTGGGGGTGTCTCGGCGGTCGCTTCCGGCGGTGGCTTCGACAGCAGGGGGACGCGCACGTGGGGCTAGCTGTGTCACGGGGGGCTTGTCGGGAGGATGACACTTCGTTCTCGGCTTACCTTTTGGGGTCTCTGAAGGCGCTCATCGGAGTGGCGTTACAACGGGCGCAAGCTCGTGTCATCCTGCTTCGGGCGGCGTCTTCCATGGGGGGGTTGAATGTGGACTTGGTGGATCGGGAGAGGGACGATGTCGAGGTGGAGGGCGGGCCTCTTTGGGTGGAGGCCCCCTACATGGTGGATGTGCAGATGTGACTTGGGGGGGGGGGGGGGGGGGGGGGGGGGGGGCGAGGGGGAATGGGGTGCGAGATGGGATGTCTGGTAGGGGATCCTGGTTGGGTTTTTTCTTTATGGAGTATTTTTATGGGGCTTTTTATGGGTGTTGCGTTTGAGTTGTTTCTGGTGTCTTTCTTTCCCTTTTCCTTCTCCCTCTTTCCCTTTTCCTCTTTCAAAAGCGTGAAGCCAGTTTCTGGGACTTAATATGAAAATGCTTTTGTATACTGAAAAACGAAGCCTTGAGGTTTGAAAAAAAAAAAAATAATAAAAAAAAAAAATTGTGCGGATAGGTAGCCTCTAGGGTTGTCGAAGCGCCACATCTAGCCGCTGAGCTTTCACAATAGATGGCTGAGTGCGGCGGTTTGCCGTGATACATGCAGATTAGGTCAACAGCAGCACTAGAAGTATTTACTGACGAGGATTTAGTTGTATTGTTCCCTCACTGCTGTTTGCTAATACCGTCATGTCCGCCAACAGGGATGTGCTCGCTAAGCATGTCGAGAGGCATCAACCTCTTCCCCTTACCGCCACGTCCTCGCTTTCCCGCTCTCAACATTCTCGAAGCAACAAAGATCAGCATCAATCGCGTGCCACTCCCTCTTCTTCCGTTTCCGCTTCCGCCTCTGACCCTTCCGCCGCGTCGCCCGCGCTCGGCGCGCTTCACAGGCTCCTCCCGTCCGGAGCCGTTCCCGCCGGATCCGCCGACGACCGCGCTTTATCGTCCATACCGCCGCTTACCACCACCGCAAGTCCCGTAGACCTGCGGGACCGCACTGGTGCCTGCAGCACCAGCGGCGGGGACGGCGGCGGAAGAGGCGGCGTTTCTCGAACCGGATCTTTCGGTCTTAGTGGTAGTGGTGCCTTCCGCGCTGCTGGCGCAGGCGCTGGCGGCGGCGCCGCGGATGCGTACACGTGGCAGACGGTGGATAGCGGCGTCGCGGGCAGCTTAGAGTATCGCATGCGCTTTAAAGACCGCCTCGGGCGCACGTGCTCCCCCTGGCACCACATACCTCTTAATACCCGCAACGGTCACGTGCACGTGGTTTGCACGACGCCTAAGAAATCCTGGGCGCGCTTCGAAGTCGCAGCGGATGAAGATTTTTCCCCCCTGAGGCTTGCGCGCAAATCGTTAGGGGAAGGAGCGGGTATCGGGGGAGCGGAAGGCGCGTGGGGGGGAGGAAGCGGCGCAGGGATCGGCGGAGGCGCGGAAGGCGCGGGGGGAGTTTCTTCCGCCGTGGTTCCGCTGCACTACGCTTCGAACTGCCCGTGGAACGTGGTGATGCTGCCGCAGACGTTTGCGGACCCGCAGTTGCCGAACCTGGACTACCTAGGGTTGCGCTACGACGGGCGCCCGCTGGAAATGGTGGAGCTGGGGCGCAAGGCGCGCAAGAGAGGACAGGTGCGCGCGCCCCCCGCCTCCTCCGCCGCGGTTTTTTTGCTGCCTTCTCCTGCCCGTCCCCTCTTCTCGCATGGAAATTCTCTCCCCTCCATCCCTTCCCCTCGCTGCTTCTTTCTCACTAGCATCCCCTCACAAGCTAGTTCCCCCCATTCCCGCCCGGCAGGTATACGCGGTGAAGGTGGTATCTGCCTTCGCGCTCGTCGACCTGCCGACCATGCGCCTTTCCTGGAAGCTTCTAGGCATGGCCGTCAGCGACAGGCGCGCGCGGCGCGTGAGCGACGCGGGGGACGTGCACCGCGTGATGCCCGGAACCCTAGAAGAGGTGCGCGAGTGGCTGCGGCAGAGCGAGCGCGTGCGCGCGCACGAGCGCGAGTGGGTGTTCGGGCTGAACGAGCGCGCGGGGGACGCGCTCCTCGCGGGGAGGCTCGTGGCGGAGGCGCACGCCGCCTGGCAGCGCCTCATGGCGCGCGCTCCGCCGCGCACGCCCGCGTTTCTGAAGGGGGAGGAGAGGGGGAGGGGAGCGGAGGGGAGGAGGGAAGGGCAGGAGGTGGGGAGTGGGCAATTGAAGGGGAACGGGGACGGGGATGGGCAGGAGCAGGAGAGTGGCGATGGTGCTGCTACTACTGGGTCTGAGACCAGCCATGGCTCAAACAGGCTTGGCCTTTCCAGTCCCCTTCACACCCCCCCTCACACTCCCACTCACTCGCACCCCCCTCCCTCAACCCCCCCTCACTCGTCCACCTCTGGTACCTCCACCCCCTCGCACATAGCCACTCCTCCCCGCGCTACCTCCTCCTCCTCCGCCACACCCCCGCGTCTGTATCACAGTGACTCTGATGCGTCGTTACAGTCAGCGGGCACAGGGCATGAGTCAGTTTCCACATCAGCGGGTGCTGCTGCTAATGGTGCTGCCGGCGCTGGTGCTGGTGCTGCTGCTGGTGCTGCTGGTGGTGCTGGTGCTGGTAGCAGCGGCAGCAGCAGCAGCAGCAGTGGGGTGGAGGAGCGTGTGTTGCCAGTCAACGTGATCCCACTGCGTGACCCCAGGGCGAAGCTGCTAGTGCGGGCCATGAGACGACCTGACGCCACAGAAAGTGTGCTTGCTTTCAATGGGTCGGATGATGAAGGGGAGGAGGAGGAGGAGGAGGAGGAGGAGGACGGTGAGGAGAGTGAGGAAGGTGAGGAAGGAGGGGAGGGTGAGAAGGGGGAGAAGAGTAAGGGAGAGGAAGGGGAGGGTGATGGTGGTGTTGATGGCGCTGGTACTTCTAGTGGCGGTAGGGACAGGGGGAGTGGGAAGGGAAAGAAGGGTAAGGGTGCGGTAACCGTTACGTGTTCGCGCAGGGAGCTGCTTCGGTTTCTGAGGTCAACCGATCCGCGCCTCTCTCGCCCGGCATATATCGCATTCAACAAGGGGTTGATTCATATGGACGAGCAGGAGCAGCATAAGGAAGAGCTTGGCGGGGATACAGACGAGGGGGGCGGATTTCCTGATTCTTCGGCCGCTGCTGCCGCTGCCGCTGCTGGTGTTGGTAATGTTGCTGGTTCTGGTTCTGGCAAAAGCGGGTCTAGGGGCGCAGGGAGGGTTTTCGAAGATGCCACTGCCCGTTCGGATGGGGTGTATGAGGAGGGTGGGGGACCGGCGGGTGGGAGCGGCGAGGGGAGCGCTGGTGGTGCTGTTGCTGCGCAGGCGAGCCGTTTAGACTCGGATGGGGCGTTGGGAAGCGGAGGAGCTGGGGGGATTGGGGGAGGAGGAGGGGGCGGGGATGGGGATGGGAGGATAGTGGGAAAGAGCAGCAGGAGGAGTGGTGGTGGCAGCAGCAGCAGCAGCCACAGGAGTGGGGTGAGTAGCTGGGCGCGGCAATTGGGGAAGGTGGAGGAAGAGCCAGAGGAAGAGGCAGCAGAGGTAGAGCAAGTGAGTGGAGGAGACGAAAGGGAGGAAGGGGCGGAAGGGGAGGAAGGTGAGGAGGAGCATGTGAGGGATGGAGATGGGAGGGAGGTGGGGGGAAAGGGAGGCAGGGTTGCAAAGGGCGGGGATGGGTTGGCGGAGAGCAGAAGAAGTGGTGGAGGTGGAGGAGTAGGGCAAGTGTGTGCGGATGCTGACCAAGTGTACCATGGAGCCACACATGCAGGCACAGGTATTAGTGCTGCTGCCATCGCTGCTGCTGCTTCTGCTGCTGGAGAAGCTGCTGTCACTTGTACTGTTGCTTCGGCTCCTGCCGAAAGTGGTGGTGCAAAAGATTTCGTGGCTGGCAGCATTGACTGTATGGATGGCGGTGGTGGTACTGCTGATGGGATAGGGCGCCGAGCACACAAGGTATACGTGGGGCCCTTTCAAGCAGAGACAGCAGTTACTGGCGGAGGAGGGGAGGGCGATGGGGAAAGAAGGCAACAGGACAGCACCGATACAACAGATAACTCCACCAGTCTCCCTCATCCGAATGCACTCTCAACTCCACCAGCCCTGTCAGCGTCACCTGCAACGGCAGCCACAGCAGCAACCGCAGCTGACGCATCTTCTGCTGCCCTCCCTGCTGCACCCTCTGCTTCTCCTGCATCCGCTACTGCTCCCACGCTGTCCCTGTCATCCCCTGGGAGCAGCAATCGCGCGGGTCAGTTCAGCCGGGTGGGGTCAAGGCGAAAGCCCAAGCGCAGCAGCATGATTCAGGAGAAAGGCAGCGAGAGCGGGGAGAGTGACGGCACGAGCAGCAGCAGCAGCCACAGCAGCAGCAGCAGCAGGGAAGAGCTTGGAGAACCAACCAGTGACTTTTTCCTCCCCTTCTCCTACTACTGCTGCTGCACCTGCTGCTGGTAAAACTGGCGCTGCTGAGGCTAACACCCGTGGGTCTGCTGGTGTTGCTGCTAGTACCCCCGCTGCTGCAGCAGCAGGTCAGGGACAGACACTGCTTGTGCGAGGACGGAAAGTGGCATGGGTGGCCCCTAGGGGCAGCAGCCTGAGCTCTGGACAGAGGAGCAAGGGGGGGCGAGAGTCGTGAGTTATCAACAGGTGGAGTGATGGAGCTGGGATGGGGATTGGCCTGGGTGGGGATGATTGTTTTGAGACGTCTCGAAACAGGGGTGGAGCTGGGATGAGGGTTGTCCTGGGTGGGGATGACAGTGTATGGGAGGACGAGCTGGGGAGGAGAGGTAAATTATGCAGGTAATAATTTTCGCACTTCTGGATGCGTGTGTGTCTGAGTTTGCGTGTGTGTGCTGTGCGCTCACGTCAAAGTGAGGGTCTGTGACTTTGTGATCGTGTGAGAGCATGTGCAGGTATGTTTGTACGTGGCACTATCTTGTACAGTACATGGCCCAACATGGTCCATGGTACTGTGTAGTTTGGTGGGGTTGTCTTGTCTCTTCGGGTTTCTTTGTATTGCTGCTTTGCCCTCACTATTCTGCCTCTACCCGTTATGGCTCCGTTTTCTGTGTTGGCACCTCAGTGCACCTTGTACCATACTGTAGTCTGATTTGACTGCTTGCTGCTTAGTAGTGTAGGTTATGGCCTGTTTATCGCCCTAGCGACTTGGCAGCTGCAAGCAAACAGCTCCGGATTGAGTTTGCATAGTGCAACCTGAGTTGATACTACCTACTTACGTAATTTTCCAAAACAGGATGACAGTTGGGTTGGTGGGCAGGGCACTGGGCGGCAAGTGTTGAGAAGAGAGGGCGGGGAAGAGCTCGCATAGTTGACCTGGAAATGGTCTGTGCAGCAGGTGCCATGCCCTGCCATGCGAGTAGCAGGGGTGATTCCTTAGGTTGGATTGGATGACAGGATTGGAAATCTGTATGCAAAAATGGTAGGTTGGACTTAAGGGATTGCCCCTTACCGCTTGGTGAATCCTGCTTGGGGAGCAGTATCATGAGCAAGCCCTGTGATTAGCGTGCCACGAGGCACAAGCCCTGTGATTAGTGTGCCATGAGTCACGTCCGATCCCTGTGTTTAGTGTGCCGTAAGGTTAGCCCTGTTGTTAGCCCTGTGGTTAGCCCTGTTGATAGCCCTGTGGTTAGCCCTGTTGTTAGCCCTGTGGTTAGCCCTGTTGTTAGCCCTATGGTTAGCCCTGCGTTTAGTCATACACAGGGTGGATGAGGTGGGTGGGTCACATGGGGTGGTGGATGGGAATGGGCAACGCCCGGGGAAGGGGGTTGGAGGAGAGGGAAGGGGACAGGATGGGATGGCGTAAGGTGGGGCGGGTGGGTTGGTTGGGATCTTGGGGGGTTGAGGAGAAGAGGGGGGGATACCATACCTGAGAGTGTTACTACGGTACTCTAGATAGCCCATCTACTCCTATTTGCTCTAACATATACAATATGTTTCTTCATCTTCTGTCTTGCAAGCACGTGGTCCTGAGCTTCAAAGCGAAACTGCTGCAGTGGTGTGGTATCCCAGCCCAGAGCTGCTGCGGTTGTCCTGCAGGCACACGAGAGGAGGCGGTAAGGCAGACGAGAGTTGAGCTTCGCTACATGGTGGAGTAAAGTAGGACATGCAATGATGGGTGTTGTCGGATTGGGGTATATGTTTTTCACTATTTTGATGTACAGATACGTTATGCAATGACATGATATGAAACACTCTGATATGATATGATACGATATGATATGCTGTGTCTGCGGTTCAGTCTGTGTTCGGTTGATATGTTCTCACCTTTACAAGCAACGTTGAGCTCTTCACCACTTGGTTGGCCACTCCTATTGGTTCCACCACGCAAGCACAATTCCCGCCTCACCATCCGATCCTGTCATGTCAACAACACACCCAAAAGAAGCAGCGAGAGAGAGATACGCACACGAATAGCAAAGAAAGAAAATTGAGCACATGGAACTTCTGGTTCCATAATTGTTAAAAAAACAGCCACAGCGGGATTGTGTTGCGGGGCAGAGGGAGAAATGGGCATGAAATGTAAGAACTGTGAGAAATGGATCAGGAAGCGTGGGGTTGGTTGGAAGGGGTATCGGCGAACCATGAACGTGTGGTGCAGAAGAGAAAAGGAGTGGGTGCAGAAACCCACCACAAGGCTACAAAGCGCGTGCGATTCTTCTCCAAGGCACACCTGAAGGAGAAAACATGAGGGAAACAAGGCATGTGAAAAAAACGAGGAGAGGAAGAGCCGAGAAATAAGGAATGTGAAGAACGAGTGTGGAGAAGAGAGAAGGCGGCGTGAAGCAGCGGGAAGGAAGGAAGAGAGAGTGGATGGAGCATAGAGCTTCAAGCAGATGCGGGAAGGGAGGGGGTGAGGAACATACCGCGGAAAGAGGGCTCAGTTGATTCGCCCTTGCTTGTTGTCCCTTGGTGGTTGTCCCTTGCTTGTTGTCCCTTGCTGATATTGCTGCTGATGCCACTCCCGTGCTATCGTTGTCTGCCCCCTATCCTCCTCTGCTCTCTATCTCACAAAGCAAATAGATCTACAACCTACAGGCGAGGTCATGAGCTACGACATACAGCCTATATCCATACACCACCATAGGGCAAGAGTCACAGCAGAGAAAGAATACCACAATGAATGATCGCACCTATTCACACATCGAAACCACATGCTGTGATTCCTTACGAGTTCCTTTATATTACAATGTAATTTTTTTCACTTCTTACTAGTTAGTTCTCCTCTTCTGCTTGCATCAAGCATAGGCCCTGTAGTCAGAGTGGGGTTAGCGTACCTGTAGTTAGGCGCTGCCCTGTAGTCAGAGTGGGGTTAGCGTACCTGTAGTTAGGCGCTGCCCTGTAGTCAGAGTGGGGTTAGCGTACCTGTAGTTAGGCGCTGCCCTGTAGTCAGAGTGGGGTTAGCATACATGTAGTTAGGCGCTGCCCTGTATTTCCGCCAGATAAGGGTTTCCACCAGAGCAGCGAGTCGTCACACTCATCAGTGGCACTGCACTGCGCCATCAGCAGCACCCCAATTGAGTTCAATTGAGTTCACGCTGCGAGGCATTCCTCCACCCCAATTGAATTCACGCTGCCGAACAGAGATGGGTAGAGAGAGAGAGGATGGGTAGAGGAAGGGGGCAATTAAAACAAAACGGAGGCATAATACCGTGAGAGTAAAAGCTGGAAGTTAAACAACATGTGGCACAGTGAAAGGGTAGGCGATGGTAGCTCATGGCACTAGGTTGGCGAGCTAGCAGGCAAGGGGGACGAGACGCGGGCGTGAGTGTGAGTGCATTCTAACCCTCTAGGACTCTAGTGTGAGCTCAAGCCGCCCCAGTGCCATGTGCTACCATCGCCACGCGAACGTTTTTAATACCTTCATGCGAAGGCGGCGTTTTGGTTCGAAGCATGCTTGAAAAGAGAGGCTGGGCAAATGTGAACACGAATTACAAGGTAAAGCGGCGGTAAGGATGGCAAGGGTTGAGGAGGGAACTTAGCGGGATTCAGAAGCGGCTCATCGCCTTGTTAATGCCAGCAGCAGCCCTCCCAGCAGCAACACTCCCAGCAGCAGCACTCAAGGTCGCTGGGCGCGTGAGGGAGTGGCTTGGTCAGCAGGGCATGCAGAAGGCACGCACGCAGCTGTGACTGCCTGCCGTGCGTCATCCCACCGCCCTTCCTCCCTGCACCACACTGCCATAGCCATGTGCGAGGGGGGGAAAGCTTATGAGAGGGGAGGGAGCGAGTGGGAGAGAGGAGAGAAGGCAGAAGTGGGGAGGAATTGAAGAAGTTAGTCTTATATAAGCATGCGTGTGATTGCCAACTTGTAAAGCGGCAGGGATACCGGGAGGAGGACAAAACGGAGGCATAATACTGTGAGAGTAAAAGCTGGAAGTTAAACAACAGGTGGCACAGTGAAAGGGTAGGCGATGGTAGCTCATGGCACTAGGTTGGCGAGCTAGCAGGCAAGTGGGACGAGACGCGGGCGTGAGTGTGAGTGCATTCTAACCCTCTAGGACTCTAGTGTGAGCTCAAGCCGCCCCAGTGCCATGTGCTACCATCGCCACACGCCGCACATGTCCCTCGGTCAACTTTTAATCCCTCCCACGCAAAAGCAACGTTTTTGTTTCGCGCAAGATTTGATAAGCGAAAGAAGAAATGAAAACAATCAGGAAGAAGGCAGGGTATGAGAAACTCTTAGCCGTGTGACGAGCAGTCGCATGAGGAGTAGAGGGGTGTTGACACGGCCAGCAGCAGCCCTCCCTGCAGCCTGCAGTAGTCCAGCAGCTCGGCAGTAGTGGTCAGCAGCCAGCCCAGGTCGTGCGTCATCCCACCGTTCGCCTCTCCCGCTCACCACGCTGCTCCCACTGCTCCTCCCTGCTCCCTGCGGCTGCCCTGCCGCCTTGTAGGTGCGCTGATAGAGGGATGCAGGCAGGAAGA